ATACTTTTCAACAGATTAAGGAAATGTAATCGTTTAGCCAGGGTTACTACTGAATTAGGAATAATTAAGGCATTTTAAAATTTATGTCGTTTTCCTCTATCACATGGAAGGATCCTGCACCAGTTTTTTTTTTTTGGCAAAATTAGGGCTTTGGAGGTCTGACGATCAGAGAGGCCGTTAAATTTTGTTATTATTTCACATACATACATACTATATATAAATTAGTAAAAAAGAGATAATATTTAAAAAGTGCTGTTAAGGAAGAATTCACAAAAATGCTAAATGAAGTAGAACAATACTACTGAAAAATTGTAAGTGTGCTGTAATAGACCATATGGAAGATGGTGAGTAGTTGTTCATAATTAATTTAAAATTAATGTTATTTTTCATTTTGTTACTGGATACATTTTAAAGGGATACTTGGGAAGCAGAGTAGAAAGATACTTTTGATGAAACTAGGACCATACAATTAATGGCACAACTGCGCTATCAACAAATATGTATCTTAATTAAAATTATAAAAGAACTAGCAATTACCCGGCGTGCTTCGCTGCGCCTTAAATGTATTTTTGTGTTGTAACTCTCCCCCTAAGCTCTTATGGCCTCATTTACAAAATATTTTTAAAGAACTTTATGAAGTTAGATTTAAAAAAATCGATCTATGAAGCATTGTTTATTTTTTTTTTGAGTTAATATATTTTCGAAGGTAATTAGAAAATATGTAAAGAACCGACTTTCTCTTGGAAATTTAATTTATAATCTTATAACTGGAGTCTACTATCGCACCCTTTCCTCAAACGTGTATTGATTCAATATTCAAATAACGTATATTTATATAATTTGAAAAAATCTCCCTACTATACAAATATGTACAGCAATATTAAATAATATTTTCAAATGTTGTGAGAGGGAGTAACAAAACAAAATTACTTTTAAGGCGCAGCGAAGCACGCCGGGTATTCGCTAGTGTCACATGAAATTAACTGAGCAAAGTACAATGAATAGCTGTTAAACAATGGCACCATCTACTTTAAATGAAACATACTTATTTTCGTGGGGGATACTCACACACCATATACTTTTCTATTGAAATTTTTCCTGAATTTTCCTAGCTATAAACCTCCAACGAATGCAAAACCGTGAAAATCGGTTCGTGCGTTCTGGAGTTATAGCGTCAGGAAGGAAAACCCTACTTATTTTTATATTAATTTTTATATTAAAGAAGATTAAAGAACTGTCCGCATTACTCAATTTTATTTTTCACTAAAACGGTATTCATGAATTTTTTAATTTTTTTTTTATTTGCTTCCGCATACTTTTGACATAACAGCTTTCATTTTATGCCGATATTAAACAAATACAGCCTAAGTTTACCCGGGTCCACGTTTTGGTCTGTATCTCGTGACCCAAGTCACCCAGCTATATGAAAAGTGCTCAATCTTAAAGCATTCATGAACAGCTTTCATTTGATACCCATATTGAACAAATACACCCAAGGTTACCCAGGTCAACGTTTTGGTCTATATCTCGAGACCCTAGTCACGCAGCTATATGAAAAGTGCTCTATCTTAAAGCGTTCATGAACAGCTTTAATTTGATACCCATATTAAACAAATACATCCTA